GAGTTTTGTGGAAGGAAATCGTCAGTTCTTCACAGATATGAGACTGCGAGACTGCCGCCTTGTGATTGATGGGTGTAGCTTATATTTTCGATTATATTTCAACTCTGGATTGGATCAGGCACGGGGTGGTGACTACGACACGTTTGTGGTGTTGGTTCGACAATTTTTTGCAGCACTTTCTGAATGCAGCGTGCAGCCGTTCGTCGTGTTAGATGGTGGAATGGACCAGACAGACAAGAAGTTCAGGACACTACAGGAAAGAGCCCAAAGCAAGATTCGAGAGGCTAATGCTCTTTCCCGAGGATCGCACGGTTGCGTTCTCCCTCTGCTTGTATGTGAAGTCTTCAAACAGGTCCTTTCAGAGCTTGGCATACCTTTAGTTCAATGCATTTCTGAAGCTGATTTTGAAATAGCCTCTCTTGCCAAACACTGGGGATGTCCAGTTCTGACCAATGACAGTGACTTCTACATCTTCGACCTCAAAGGTGGCTACCTACCGTTTTCATTCTTCCAATGGAATAACATCAGCGGTAAGGCTACAGAGCGCTACATCCCTGCACGCAATTTCACCGTGAACCGCTTTTGCTCACATTTCAACCACATGAACAAGCAGCTCCTCCCTCTATTTGCTGTTGTCATCGGGAACGACTACACACCTGCTAAAATAACTGAGGTTTTTTTCAGCCGCGTGGAATTCGAAAGAGTACCCTCCGGTCGGAAGTATGGACGTTCCAGTTCTCGAGTCGAGGGCTTTTTGCTCTGGCTGTCACAGTTTACCAGCCCAGGAGATGCTCTGGACGAAGTCCTGGAGATTTTGAGTGAACAACGGAAAGGAACCTTACGTACGCAGCTCTCAGCAGGAATGCAGGACTACCAGCTTCCTCACAGTAGCAGTTTGGCTCAGTACTTCTCAAGTCCCCAACCTGCACTTCCAGATGCCCAGGGGCTCCCAGCAGCACTGGTTTCTCAACCTGAATGGCTTTTAAGGATGGTTGCATCAGGTAGGCTG